GACTGATCATTGCTGTATCAATTCATCCACTGTGTGAGGTATTGTTGTGAATCTGAATTTAGCAACATCGGGTCATTGTTGCAGCGTTTTAATAACAGACTCTTATTTCTCTACTAGGCTCTGCCTCTTTCTGACAGGCAGATATTGATTTGTTCCTGCATCTTCAGGTAAGTAGTTCGCAAGGCAAGAGGAAGCAGTGTGAATCGTCTTTAATAAATACATCCAGTAAGTAGTAGGATTCTCAGTGTAATTCTCCCCGTGTTTAATAGCATGGTGTGTCCGTTCTCATCCAACATTATCTGCTTGTTCCAGTATGATCTCTGGAAGTTATGCCTTTGTCAAGGTTCTGATTTGATGATATCAATTTGGTTTTACATTTTATATCAGAATGACATTATCCTTCTCTAGCTTATGATATCATGGCTTTATTTCCTATCTGACACTCTATATTCATTCAGGATATTTCAGATATTGAATGCCAGGTGATTGCTGAAAGTTATCTTGTCTGAGCAGATTTTATGACAATTTCCTATTGATTCTTGTTTGGCTTTGTAAAGTCTTCTAAGATTTATACAGCTCAATAATGGTTTTATAGCTATTAGCTGTTTTTGAACTCTGTCCCTCCCTCTATATTTATTGCTTGGGTATTCCCCATGAGTAAATGCTGCCATGAATAATGGTCAGGAAAGTGGAAAATTGTTTCATACTTACCGTAATTTTATTTTCCTGATAATTATTCATGGCAGCATTACGTTCCCACCCATATACTATAGGAGTTGTGAAGCTAGTTACAAAGACTGCCTGATGGGAAGGGGGAGGATCTATTTATACCAGTTTCAAAGTTCTATTTCCTGTCCTTTTTGCTGTAAGGGGAGGAGCTAACCCATGAGTAAATGCTGCCATGAATAATTATCAGGAAAAGAAAATTACGGTAAGTATGAAACAAAAAAAAAATATATATATATATTTATATCAAAATGCACTTAGAATGAAATTATATATACATCTATGTATATATAAATCAAAATAATACGCAATATATATATATATCCATACACAAAATTACATAAATAATTTCATAAATTTACACGTAGACTTCAAATATATAAATATGTATATATATTTAAATTGTATGTGCGTATTTATGTAATATTTTTACATAATTAAGTAATTTTATTGATTGCAATTTGAAGGGCCTGTCTGACAACCCAGGCCGAAAGTCCAGAGAATTTAATTTGCTAGCACTGTATTTAACCCTGTAGCTTTCTATGACACCCTTAAACCTGTACATGTTACTGTTTTACTCGGGAGACTTCGCTGAACACAAATATTAGAGTTTCAAAACAGTTAAACATATCACAGCAATGATATTGTAAGTGAAAGTGACGCTTTTTGCATTTTTCACACACAAACGGTACTTTCACTGATGATATTGTTGTGATATGCTTTTGTGTTCAGCAAAGTCTCTCGAGTATAACAGTACCTCCCCCCCCCCATGTACAAGTTTTATAGTGTTTTTGAAAGTTACAGGGTCAAATATAAGGGTCATTTTTTTTTACATTGAAAATTGCCAGGTTGGTTATGTTGCCTTTGAGAGCATATGGTAACCCAGGCATACCATTTACAAAAGAAGACAACCCAATGTATTGCAAATGGGGTATGTTCAGTTTTTTTTTAGTGGTCACTTAGTCAAAAACACTGGCCAAAGTTAGCGTTCATTTTTAACACACAAACAAATATAAATGATAACTAGACTGGACATACACCATATTGAATACCCTGGGTTGTCTACTTTAAAAAAATCTGTACGTGTGAGGTGTGATTCAGAGATGTATGACAGATAACAGTGTTACAATGTTACTATTGATACATTTAAAATATATATTTTGAAACAGCAATTTCCTATTTGTACTTATAGCCCTATAACTTGCAAAAAAAGTTTAAAAAGCATGTAAACACTGAGTGTTTTTAAACTCAGGACAACATTTTGAATCTGTTTAGCAGTTTTTTTCATTAGTTTTTGTAGATTTTTCAAGTAAAAATAAATTATTATTTTTTTAATTTTCACCATATTTTATTATTATTTTTTAAAGTAAATTATATGACATGATACAAATAATGGTATGTAAAGAAAGCCCTTTTTGTCCTGAAAAAAACCCAATATATAACTTGTATGGAAACTGTGACAGACCTCTCTGTCTTTTAAACTGATTATTTCTCCTTGGTTTGTCTGTTTGTTCGGCTAGTTCCTTGTCCGTACAGCCCATACATTTATTCTTCATTTTACCGAATGAACTGCCGAACAGCTGGCCACCCAGCATGGAAGTGTGCTTCTGGTTAACCTCTTGGCCTCATTAGAATGTTGTGGTTAACCGCAGACACCTCTTAATTGTCGAATGTAGGCTCGGTGGTCCTCGTTCGTATAATGAACACGAGGCGGTGGCCATCTTGGACATACGAATTCCCAGCGGTGTTCGTTGCCGACCTTCCTTCATCTATTTCTCCATCATACGAACGCCGGTCTGTTCGGTACTTCTCTGCACGAATGGACTTACCCCAGATAGCCATGCCATGGAGCCCATTCGTATAACGAAAGACTTTGGCTGCATGGCGATTGAACTGTATGTATGTGATCTGAGCGCCATTTGGTAATAATGGGCGCTCAGATCTAAGCTATCTGGGGATACGTTAATTGTACCTCGTGCATTCGATAGTTTTCATGTTATATATTTTTATGTGTTTTTTTTCTACTGTGTATAAAATGGAGTTTTGCCTCTATCCTTGGAGATAATTGAATTACTTTCCAATTATCTCTAGGATAGAGAGGAGGGTCCTTTACAGCTAAAGGGCAGTGATTGTCTGGGATTTATTTGTATGGATTTACTGTTCGGCTGTTTGACGTGTTCGTATGATTCCTGTTCGGCTGATTGGAGTGTATGTTAGCTGCCTTGGCATTGGGAAAGGGAACATCCTAAATGGCGTTAACCCTTCGTATACCTGGGGGTCCTGTTACAGGAACCGTAAATGAGAGAGAGGAAAATTACAGCTAAACACAAACACCACAAAAATTTTAAAACAGCCCTGGTCCTTAACGTACAACATGGCCAAAACAGTCCGGTCCTGAAGGGGTTAATTACATCATTTACTTGATTATAAAGTTGTTGTTTTTTGTTTGTTTTTTATGCACAGTTCTTACATATACCACTTGTTGTTTACTTGTGGTAGAGGTCTTCTAATGCAGACCATTCTCATGTTCTATGCAGCTTTAGAAATTTTATTACATTTTATAGGAATTAAATATGTGTCATAATTATTATTCCAATGTCTGGTTTCCCTTTTTCTCCCATACTTTTTTTTTCCCGCTTTTTTCTCCCTCCCTGATGGTATAAATACTGGATTGAATGCATTGTACAATTTAATCTTGATAAAGTCCCTGAATAGGACAAAACGCGTAGACTGACTATTTGATACCAGATCGTTTGACACTACTCCTTTAAGGCAGTCGCGTCTTTTTTTAAAGATACTGGCTGCGGCACACCACGAGATCTCGGCTGTTGGTGCTCCCCAGACATACACCTCCTGTACGGTACAGTGTTTTCTATATTTTTTCATCAGTGATATATACCATATACTGGGTAGAGCTTGCTGAGATCTCTAACTTTGACAACCTCCTTTTATATTATTATCTGATATATCAGCATCCCTTGGATTGGTGGAGTGGGCACCCACGGACACAGAACATCTGTGTGATCCACCGCTGACTTTGTCTGATATATGCTAGTTTTAGGATGGTATTGTTTTTCTGTGGTATTTTGTATTGATTTTTCTATTCTTTTTTTCAAGCAGTTTTATCATAGTCTTTTTATATATAATATATATTACAGTGTATTTTTTGTCTTTATGGTGTATTATCTGATTTATATTACACCAACCTTTCATACATCTTGTTACACATGCTTTAATGTTGTAGTTGTCCTTACAACATTGCAACTTAGCCACTGTGCAGACTTGTATCTATGCATGACTGATGATTTTTATTTATTTATTATTTTTTATTTTTGCAGTGCATATAAGGAGTACAGACTGGCTTGAGGTACCCCAACAGCAGTTCTCGAGCTGCTTTGCATAAGTAACAAGTAGGGTATTCGCTAGATAATGCACAATTTCATATTGTATAATATAATAACAGTGACGTTGGTGACACATATTAAGAAGAGTTACGTTCTGCCCATAACTATAGGACATTGTTATTAAAACATTATTGAGGCAGCGTTTGTGACAGGGCAGTTGGTAAAAAACAAAAACAAAAAAAAACAATGTGTTGGTTGTTATAGCCAGCCAGTGTGGGTAAGTTACTGAAATGTTGAGTATTTAGACGCCTGTGGAGCTGCTGCTCCTTAAGGAAAATTAAGCACGCTGCTATCTTAGCTGGTGTCTGCTAGGGCCATGTCACTGGGACCCCCACAACCAGCAACAATAACAGAATAACATGTTAAGGCTAGTGGGTACGTTAGTTGATTCGTTAGGGCCGGGGGTTTGGGTATAGCTGGCAGTGGATTTAACCCCTGTTGCTCCGCTCTGATAATGCAGTATATGTGGGTATGTGCAGGAGTGGGCAAAGAAATAATAGACAGCTGAAAGGTTAATATAACATAAATTCAACGAGCTAAGGGCTAATGAGCCGTAGCGCTGCAGAAAGTCCTTGGATAGGGACACAAGTACCTTGCTCGGGGACATATGGCACTGTCAGACAATGTCCCGGCTTGTTGTGGCCGCGGGGCTCCCGGGTGCCACCGGTGTTGCCTTGGTGGGTTCTTTTAGCTCTGCTGGGCATTGGTTGCGCTGGATATCGTATGCGATGTGCTCCAGCCCTAAGGCTTCCAGGATGCTCCCAGGTCCACTCCTCCCAAGGAACATCTGGAGCTGTAGTAGGTCGCTTGTACTCCGCTCCCCCGGTGCTGTGCAGGAGCCACGAGCCTGGGTTCCGTAGCGGCCCAGGGTCATCTCTGTCGGGATGGTGCGATTGGTTTTATCCCAGGTCTCCCCTCTGCTTGGGCTGCGTTTTTCGCAGGCTTCATGCGATACGGCCCTGCTGGCTGTAGGTGCACCTGCAGTTTGGCCCAGAAGTGGTCAAAGATTAGTTCAATTGAGTCCTTTACGTGGGTGTCCATGCCCACTCTGGTGAGCTGTTGTTCGTCTTGTGCAGTTTGAACAGTTGCGTCCGCCATCTTGGTAGCCCCAACTCCCACCTCCAGGCTCAGTCGTGGGGCGCAGAGTATGAGGTTCTCTGCCTGGCGGGGACCGGGACCTCCCCCACCGGTCCATAGGGGGGGGAGTGCAGTAGGTTCGCTTGCGGCTGTTTGCGGTTGGCTTTCATCTTTCCTCGCCGCCCCCAGAGGTAGGCCTCACTCTGCCTTTACAGTTCCCTGTCATCCGGGTGTCGAGTGTAGCATTGGGGGGTTCAGGCAGGTGTCTCCTATGTCGTGTGCACCTCTGTAGGTTACACAGCTCATCAGAGGGGAACCGATCTGCGGGAAATAACCGATGTTTTAAAGGTAAGTGACAGTTCTGATTGATAGAATTTGAAAATGGTCATCCATATTCCAGCCAATCGTGGTAGTACTGGAGGATGATGTAGCCGGATTACCAGAGTTCATCCAAACTCCAGTAGAAAGGAATTTAACCCTTATTGGTCTTTATTGAAAAGCCATAGAGAAAATCAAAAAAGCGAATTATCCCAAACTATACAGGAGAAAACATATACAAGTAAAGAAGACTCTTAGTTGGGTAACTAAGTAAACTACATACAATTATTAATAGAACGGGTCAACTGAGCTGACGAACCAAAAACGAATATAATAAATATATTCATATAGGTCCCAATAAGATCATACACTCTGGTAATTTGAAAACAAGTCAGAATAATGGACCTACACAGGTGCACACACACACAGACACACACTGACAAATACACTCATACACAAACACATACACTCACACACACACAGATACACACACATACATGCACAAACACACACGTAACAATTCTTAAAATATTTTTAGCCACCCTCTTCTTATGTGCCAGAGGTGACTTCATTGGGGTACTAGTGCTGGCTGAGTCTGATAGGAGTGTGGGTCTAGGGCTGACACTGTTCTTGCTTCTCACCCCTCCTGCCTGCTCTATCCCTCCCATATGGCTCTTTCCCTGTATCTGGGAGGAAGTGACAGGCACTCACTTTCTCCCATCATCAGCGATATTACAGGGGTCCAATCACGCTGTTAGAAGGCCACTGTACCTGACCAGGCTCCTGCTGTGGCTGCTGATTACAGTGCAGTACCCAAAATATATTTCAAATGACCACTAGATGGCGATCATAAACCATAGACCAAAAACTATACACTTGCTTTAGTTTCAAGAACGAAACTCAAAACTATATAATTAACTTGGTTAAACTTAAGGGCATGACTAGGTTCTTAATTAACTAGCTAACCCAATAAACATCCTCTAAAAAGTACTTAAAGGAACTTCAGCTTGGTGAAATGCTTTACGTGTGAAGCGTGTGCCTTCTGTTTTTTAGTTTGTTTGTTTTTTCATTGTACAGAAAGTGCAGATTTCAATAAAAATGTGGACTTTAATGAATTAATCTTGTTACACCCACCTGGCTGTGAGTCAGGCAACCGATCTTGTTACTTCCTGGTTTGTTTAGCTCAGTAAAACTAAGCTCAAGATACAGGCAATTGCCCAGAGCACCTACCTTGCAAATACATCTCATTGAGCTGCATTGGGAAGTCTGTGATTGGACAGATACAGAAAGTCTGGGCTGGGGAAATAAGTGATGGCTTGCAAAGGCTGTACAGAAAAGATTTGCATCTATCTATCGATCGATCAATCTATCTATCTGTCTACCTATTTATCCACTCAGAGGTTCAGTTGTTGCTCCAACCATAAATGAGATCTTAGTGGTTCTGACTGTAGATTCTGAAGAAGAATCTGATAATCTCAGGCCATTTACACCTACAAAAAGACTCTAGAATTTACAAACATTAGTGTAGCATAAAAATAAAATCCAATGAGAAGTAAAAATGCTTAGTTAATGAGAGACATCAGGGAACAAAGGTCAGACTGGTTCAAATTGACAGGAAGCCTGCAATAACTGAACTAACCATGCATCTAGTGCTGTCAGAATAGGCATCTCATATTGCGAAACATGTTAAACCTGTTAGTGGGTGATCTACAGCAGCAAAAGACCATAATGGATTGCCCTGCTGTTAGCTAAGAACAGGAAACAGAAGTTAAAGTGGGCACAGGCTCAACAAAACAGCACAGTGCAAAATTTGGAAAATGCCTCATTTAACTAGCCTTGATTTCTGGTGGTAGTTATATATTACCTTTTCTATATCACGATTAGCCTTTACTACTTACACTGGAAGTCTGTTCCATGTATCTACTACACTTCTGTATCACTACAAAAAAACAAGTCCTGCGCTCAAACTCCCATTACTCCTGGGCGACAGCAATGGCCATAGTACACATCAGCTCAAATACATACAGTAAAAACCAAAGAAAAAAGTTACCTGCGCTCTTTCCCAAATCCCTATGTATAAAAATATACATAGGGATTTGGGAAAGAGCGCAGGTAACTTTTTTTCTTTGGTTTTTACTTCTGTATCACTGTTAGCCTCCACAGGTTCCATTGGAAGGTCATTCCAGGTATGTACTACCCTTTCAATATTACGACTTTCAGTAGAAGAGGTAGAGGCTAACAGTCATATACAAAGGGTAGTAGATACATGGAACAGCCTTCTAATTGAAGTGGTAAATGATAACGGTGTATGCATGTGCTGCATGTGTATAGATTGTATGTGATATACACAGTATGCATATAGAACATATGAGATTTACACAAAATAAATTCTAAACAGCTAAAAGATCAGAATTACGAAAAGTCATTTTAAAAGTCACTACTTTGTTAAGTCCCTACTTAATTATGGCAATGGCATACTAAATTAGGGAGCTTTCTATTAAACAGCTAAAAGGTAAAGGTTAAGAGAAAAAAAACCTTTTCTTAATTTTACTGTTTAATTTGCTTAGTAGATATAGATAAGTCCCTAATTTGGTAGCCTTATGTGGTGTTACTACATTTAAGGATAACAAGTTAGAGTGCTATCTGCTAAACTGTTCCCTAATTTGGTATCCTTTGGAATAATGGGAATAATGGCATCCACATTTTGCTTCAATGCTAATCGATAATTTCTGAATTTTGGATGACCTGAAATTTGGAAATGAATGAATTAGAACAATCTATTTTTTTTTTCGGGGGTGTATGTGTCTGATATAAATGCATGCTGTTTTCTCAACATGGAGCCGGCTCTGTAAGTAATGTTGCCAGCACTTTGTTGAGAGTAAAAGTTTACACAATCCAATATTAGAAAGGTGCATTTTATAAACAAAACACAAACATATGTGCGGCCATATTTATTTCAAATGTAATAGACAAAAATATCTGAAGAAACACAGATAATCAAACTTACAAAAATAAAAGCACTTTTAATGTAAAAAATATATAAAAAATAAATCAGCACCCAGTCTAGGGTGATTATAAAGCTAAATTATAGAGCTCAATGCAATTTTGACCACTCTGGCTGCCAATCACTCACACTAATTCCATTTATTATTATAGAAATAATGAATATGAAGGATACTTCCCAATGAGGTAATTGCTTGTTACTTCACTGCCGGATCATATTAATTGAATTTCTTTGTTATCTGTAACATTACATTATTGCATGTGTCTATTGTTCATATTTTCTGTTTTTCCCACATAAAAACTGGACTTTTAAACATGATATGGCAGAAAGTATATGAATGTGACACAAAATATTATTCACCAATGGTAATGTACACTGATCAGCCACATCAGTAAAACCAGTGATGGGTGAAGTGAATAACATTGATTACATTGTTACAATTGCACTGTTTTGGAAGCAATATTAATTGGCAAGCAAAAAGATCTGAGTGACTTCTAAGTTACTTTGACAATGGCCAAAGAGTGATGGCTAGATGGCTGGATGAGAGCATTTCCAAACTGGCAAGTCTTGTGGGGTGTGGCATCAGAGTCATTGGCACCCAAAGCTCATTAATGCACATAGGCAGTGAAGGCTATCTCATTTGGTATGATCACACAGTAGAGCTACTGTAGCTCAAATTGCTGGAAAACGAATGCTGGCCATGATATAAAGGTGTCAGAACACACAGTGCTTCGCAGTTTGTTGCATCTGGGGCTGCTTAGCTGCAGACCGGTTATAGTTCCCATGATGACACCTGTCCACTGCCGACAGCACCATTCAATGAGGATATAAGTATCAGAAATAGACCATGGAGCAATGGAAAAAGGTTGTGGGTCTGACAAATAACATTTTCTTTTATACAAGGTGGATGGTCAAGGCATGTGCATTGTGTATGTCGGGAAGATATGGCAGCAGGATATACTATAGAAAGAAGACCAGTGGAGGCAGTGTTATGCTCTGGGCAGTGTTCTCCTGGGAAACCTTGGGCCTTGTCCTTCATGTGGATGTTACATTGACACATACCACCTTACTAGAGATTGTTGCAGACCACATACTCCAATTATGTTCCCTGATGGCAGTGGCATCTTTCAGCACTCTGCCACACTGCAAAAATGTTCAGGAATGGTGTGAGAAACATAACAAAGAGTTCAAGGCCTTTGCCTCCCAATTCCCCAGTTCTTAATCCAGGCATCTGTGTGTCAACACCAGACCCCACCCATGGGCCTCAGGTGGGGGTCCCAGTATTGAGATTAGAGAAGAGAGGACGTAATGTCTCCCCCCAGGCCCCACACATTTGCAAAGGGTTGGGACCCAGATTATAATATTCAGGTGGTCCAACAAATGGGCAGCATATGGTGTTCCCAAGATTAGAGGAGAGAGAATACCCAGTGTCCCGCCTATGGACATTAGGTGGGGGTTAAAATTATTTAAATAAAGGGGGTCATTCTATTGTCCATCCCCCAAGTAATGGCTTGTTTATCCCCCCATTAAATATTTAATGTCCCCTACCCGATGCCCACAGGTGAGTTGATGGGAAGTGGGGGGATTATGCCCCCCTATTTAATGGTCAGGATTTTAAGCATTTGGTCTATATTTCAGCCATTTGCAGGTGTTCAGTTTGGCTGAAATCCAGGCTGTCCCATTCTGAATTACAAAATAT